GGGTGGATGGATACTTGGGTTGCTTCCATATCTTGGCTAAAGTAAACAGTGATGCAATAAACATGGAGCATATATATATTTTTGAATTAGTGTTTTCATTTTCTTTGGGTAAATACCTAGTAGTGGCATTACTGGATCATATGGTAATTCTATTTTTAATTTTTTGAAGAACCTCCATTGTTTTCCACAATGGCTGCACCAATTTACATTTCCACCACCAGTACACAAGGTTTCCTTTTTCTTCACATCCTCATCAACACTTGTTATTTCTTGTGTTTTTTATTTTAGTCATTCTCATTGATGTAAGGTGATGTCTCATTGTCCATTTGATTTGCATTTCCCTGATGATGAGTGATGTTAAGTATCTTTTCATGTATCTCTTGGTCAACTATATGTTTTCTTTGGAAAATGTCTATTGAGGTCCTCTGCTCATTTTTTAATTGGATTATTTGGGGTTTTTTTTTTTTGGTGTTGTATAAATTCTTTATATATTTTGGATATTAATTCCTTATCAGATATATCATTTGTAAATATCTTCTTGATACAGTAGGTTGCCTTTTTGTTTTATTGGTGGTTTCCTTTGCTGTGCAAAATCTTTTTATTTTGGTGTAGTCCCAATAGTTTAATTTTGCTTTTGTTTCCCTCGCCAGAGGAAACATATCTAGAAAAGTGTTTCTACAGCCAATGTCAAAGAAATTACCGCCTATGTTTTCTTCTAGGAATTTTATGCCTATGTTTCACATTTAGGTCTTTAATCCATTTTGAGTTTATTTTTGGGTATGGTATAAGAAAGTGGTCCAGTTTCATTCTTTTGCATGTAGCTTTCCAGTTTTTCAGCACTATTTGTTGAAGAGACTATTTTTTCCCCATTGTATATTCTTGCCTCCTTTGTCATAGATTGACCATAAAAGTTTGGGTTTATTTCTGGACTCTCTATTCTGGTGATCTATTTGTCTATTTACATGCCAGTACCATACTTTTTTGATTACTTTAGCTTTGTAGTATATCTTGAAATCTGGATACTTCCAGCTTTGTTCTTCTTTCTCAAGATTGCTTTGGCTATTTTGGATCTTTTGTGGTTACATACAAATTTTAGGATTATTTTTTCTAGGTTTGTGAAAAATGCTCTTGGTATTTTGATAAGGATTACATTAAATCTGTAGATTGCTTTGGGTGGTATGGATATTTTAACCATATTTGTTCTCTCAATCCATGAGCATGGTATACCTTTCCATTTGTTTGTGTCAACTTCAATTTCTTTCATCAGTGTTTTATAGTTTTTGTAGTATAGATCTTTCACCTTCTTAGTTAAGTTTATTCCTAGGTATCTTGTTTTTGATACAATTGTAAATGGAATTATTTTATTACTTTCTCTTTCGACTACTTTATTATTAGTGTATAGAAATGCAACAGATTTATGTATATTAGTTTTGTATCCTGTGACTTTACTGAATTCATTTATCAATTCTAGCAGTCTTTTTGGTGGAGTCCTTAGGGTTTTCTATATATAGTATCATATCATCTGTAAATAGTGAAAGTTTTACTTCTTCCTTACCAATTTGGATGCTTTTCATTTCTTATTCTTATCTGATTGCTATGGCTAGGACTTCTAGTACAATGTTGAATAGTAATGAGAATGGGCACCTTTGTCTTATTCCTGATCTTAGAAGAAAAAGCTCTCAGTTTTTCACCCTTGAGGATAATGTTAGCTATGGGTTTTTCATATATACCCTTTATTATGTTGAGGTATGCTTTCTCTAAATCTACTTTGTTGAGAGTTTTTACATTATGAATGGATGTTCTAATTGTCAAACATGTTTTTAAAAGATTTATACCTAAATATTTCAGGGTAGTTTTTTTTTTTTTTCCTGCTGTTAATATAAATGATATTGTATTTATAATTCCAAATGTCAGTGTTTATTGTTGGTATATAAGAAAGGAATTGATTTTTGCATATTAAATTTGTATCTTGCAACTGTGTTATAATTGCTTATTAGTTCCAGGAGTTTGTTAGTTCTTTGGGAAGTTTTCTAGATAAAGATGTCATTTGTGAACAAAAGCAGTTTTCTTTCTTTCTTTATCTCTAAAACTTTTATTTCCTTTTCTTGTCTTATTGCTTTAGCTAGATCCTCCAGCATGATATTGAATAGGAGTAGTGAGAAGAAACATCCTCGCCTTGTCCCTGATCTTTGCAGGAAAGCATCTAGTTTTCTCACCACTAAGTATGATATTTAGTGCAAGTTTTCTGTAAGTGTTCTTATCAAGTGAGGAAGTTCCCCTCTATTCCTTGTTTGCTGAGAATTTTTATCTGAATGTGTGTTGGATTTTTTCAGATGTTTTTTCTGAATCTGTTGATATGATCATATGATTTTTCCTTTTTAGTCTCTCAATGTGGTAGATTACATTAATTGATTTTTAAAAGTTGAACCTGCTTTGCATATCTGGAATAAATTTCAGTTGGCCATGGTGTATAATTGTTTATAATTATAATATAATTGTGTATAAAACAATTTGATTTGCTGATATTTTCTTGAAAAAATATTTTTGCATCTGTGTTCATGAGAGATATTGGTCTGTAGTTTTCCTCTCCTGCTGTGTATTTGGTTTTTGTTAAGGTAATGCTGGCCTCATAGAGTGAATTAGGAAGCTTTCGCTTCTATTTTCTGGAAAAGATTGTAAAGAATTGGTATAATTTGTTCCTTAAGTTGGGTAGAATACATCAGTGAATCCATCTGGGCCTGGTGTTTTCTGTTTTGGAAGGTTATTAATTATTGATTCAACTTCTTCAGTAGATATAGGCCAACTTAGATTGTGTATTTCTTCTTGCATGAGTTTTCGTAGATTGTGTCTTTCCAGGAATTGATCCATTTCATGTAGGTTATCAAATCTGTGAGCATCAAGTTGTCATAATATTCCTTTATCTTCCTTTGATGCCCATTTTATCAATAGTGGTATATCCTCTCTCTTATTTCTGATATTAGTAATTTGTCTTCTCTCTCTCTCTTCCTCTTAGTTAACCTGGATAGAGGTTTACAAATTATCTTGATATTTTCAAGGAATCAGCTTTTGGTTTTATTATTTTTTTCTATTAATTTTTTTATTCAATTTTATTGGCTGCTTCTCTAATTTTAAAAATATGTTTTTCTTCTCATTACTTTGGATTTAATTTGTTCTTCTTTGTCTAGTTTCCTAAGGTATAAGCTTAAATTATTGACTTTAGATCTTTCTTCTTTTCTAATATATGCATTAACTGCTTTGAATATTCTTGTAAGCATTGCTTTCATTGCATCCCATAGATTTATATAAGTTGTATTTTCATTTTCATTTTGACCAAAATATTTAAAAATTTTCCTTGAGCCTTCTTTTATCCATGTGTTAATGAGGAGTATATTGTTTAATCTCTAAATATTTTGGGATTTTCCAGCTATCTTTCTGTTATTGATTTCTAGATTAATCCAATTGTGGTCTGAGAGCATTCATTGTATGATATCTGTTCTTTTAAATTGTTAAGATGTATTTAATTTCCCACAATGTGGTCTCTCTTGAGTAAGATTCCTTGTGATCTTCAGAAGAATGTGTATGCCACTCTTGTTGGATAAACATTGCCTAGATGTCTGTTATATTCAGTTAATTGATGGTGCTGTTCAGTTCAACATGTACTTACTGATTTTCTGCCTCTTGGATCTACATTTCTGACAGGTGGATGGTGAAGTCTCCAACTATAATACTGGATTCATCTGTTTCTTCTTGTATTTCTGTCAGTTTTTGCCTCATGTATTTGATGTCCTGTTAAAATCATTAAGGGTTTTATGGACAGTAAGGATTGTTATGTCTTCTTGGAGAATTGACCCCTTTATCACTATGTAATGCCCATCTTCATCCCTAATTACTTTCTTTTCTCGGAAGTCTGCTCTGATTAAAATTAATGTAGCTACTCCAACTTTCTGTTGCTCAGTGTTGGCATGGTATATCCTTCTCCATCCCTTTACTTTTAATCTATCTGTATTTTTACAATTAAAATTAATTTCTTATAGACAACACATAATTGGGTCTTGTTTTTCTCAACTTTGCTGACATTCTCTGGTATTTTAATTGTTATATCTAGACCATTGATGTTTAAAGTGATTAGTTATATAATTGGGTTAATATCTGCCATATCACCATGTATGAATAACACATATTTCTGTTCTTTGCTCTTACTCTTCCTCCCTTTTCTTTAATTGTCTTCTACCTTTCTTTTTTCTGCCTTATGGTTTTGAGTGTTTTATATGATTTCAGTTTTTCCTCCTCCCTTTTTTCCAATTTTTAAGTATTTACCCTGACATTTACACTGTAAGTCCACCTCAAATAATACTGCACTGCTTCATGGTTGTGCATATGCTTCTTTTCAGTCCCTCATAACATTGCTGTCCTGCATTTCACTTATCTATAAACTATAATCGCCTCGTACATTGTCACTATTATTATTGTGAAGAAGCTGTTATGCATTACATCATGAAATAAAAAGATTTGCTTTTATATTTTCCATTTATTCCTTCTCTAGCACTCTTGCTTTCTTTACATAGATCCAAGTTTCTGACATCCATCATTTTCCTTCTTCTTGAACTGTTTTTAGCATTTCTTTTTTTTTTTTAAGACTTTATTTATTTATTTGACAGAGAGAGAGACAGTGAGAGAGGGAACACAAGCAGGGGGAGTGGGAGAGGGAGAAGCAGGCTTCCCGCTGAGCAGGGAGCCTGATGCGGGGCTCGATCCCAGGACCCTGGGATCATGACCTGAGCTGAAGGCAGACGCTTAATGACAGAGCCACCCATGCACCCCTGTTTTTAGCATTTCTTGCAAGTCAGGTCTACCAGTGAGAAATTCTCTCAATTTTTGTCCAAGAAAGTCTATTTCTCCACCATTGAAGGATAATTTTGCTGGAAACAGAATTCTAGGTTTGTGGGTTTTTTATTTCAATGCTTTAAGTATTTCCCACCACACTCTTCTCTATTGCATAGTTTCTGAAGAGAACACAGATATAATTCTTATTCTTGCTCCTCTACAGGTAAGGTGATTTTTTCCCCCCTCCATCTTCTTTGGAGATTTTTTTCCTTGTCTTTGATTTTCTGCAGTTGAAATATGATACTCCCAAGTGTGTTTTCTGCCCTGCTTAGTGTTTGTCCTTCATTTGGAAAGTTCTCAGCCATTATTACTTCAAATATTTCTTCTGTTCCTTTCTCTCTCTATTCTCCTTCTGTAATTCCCATTACATGTACATCTTTTGTAATTACTCCACAATTCCATGGGTCTTCTCTTCTGTCTTTTTCATTCTTTTCTCTCTTTGCATCATACTCTTGGAAGTTTTTATTGACATGTCTTCAAGCTCACTGATAGTTTCCTCGGTCATGTCCAGTCTACTGATGAGCATTTCCTTTGATTCTTTTTTATAGTTTCCCTCTCTCTGTTTACATTACCCATGAATCTTGTGTATTTCCTTAGAACTGTTGGCATGTTAATCATAGTTGTTTCTGAATTCTCGATCTGGTTATTCTACCATCTCTAACATACATGAATCTGGTTCTGATGCTTGTTCTGTTTCTTAAGACTGTGGTTCTTGTCTTTTATTGTAACTTGAAATTGGTGTGAAAGTTGGACATGAAGTACTCACTGGCTGGGAGTTAGTTAGGCTGTGTTTACTTTTGCAGTAGCTATGGTGTTGGAGGCTAAACCTTTCTTATTTATTTATGTCTCTGATGTTGTATTTGGGTTTCTGTGGAGACTTCTACTTAACATAAGAGCTGAGAGGTGCAGTTTTCAGTTGTTTTCTCCTGTTTTACAGGACCCCTGTTGCTGTGGTGGTGAGGGGAGGGTGGGAGGGATGCATTCTAAAGTCCTATGATTAGGTCTCAGTCTGTTACAGAGCCTGTGCCCCTCAGCTCTGACTTTTGCAAGTGCTTTTCAGTTCACCTTCCCTGCTTTGATGAGACGGGGATTGGGTTGGATATTTCTTTTCTTCTAGGTAAGTTAGGCTCTGGTAAGATAGTTTCTTTTGAGGGCAGCCTTGTTAAGAATAACAGAATGTTCTGGTATATTTCAAAATGGCTGTTTTTTCTTTCCCCCTGCTGGAAGCATTGGGAGAATTTTTCTCCATCTTTACTGTGAGAACCTGGTAGAGCTACTGGAGGTAAAACTCATAAAAGTGTGGGGACCCCCCCTCCCCCCTTAAACTGGGCTTCCCTGGAGTTTTCAACTCTCAGATTTGGCCACACTGAGCCTCCAATTTGTCAATTGTAGTTTAAATTTTCCTACCTTAGTGCTAGTCTGTACTAGAGAGTTCTGTAAATTGTGATTCTCTGTATTTGCCTGCTTGTCTTTATATTTGCGGGGGCAGCAATTTGCTCTGTGATCTCAGTTCTCTGCTGGATATAAGAAGAGTTTTGATTTTTAGTTTGTTGAGCATTTTACTTGTTGTTAGGATCGAATAATGCCTTCCAGGCTCCTTATATGTCAGAACAGACACCAGAAGCCTCCATTATTTCCTGTTTTTACAACACATTTTCGCCCTCTTTTCCGTGATGTCCCTTTCTTTCGTGCCCTAACAGCTCTGACTTTTCTTCTCTGTCTTCCTTTTTATCTCTTCATCTGGAAGATCTGCTGCTGACCCTCTTCTCACACTGCATCGCCCTTCCCCAATCTCCTTCTACAGCTTTAACTAACACCTGAGCAATGAAGCCTCAGTCTTAACTGAGTGTCTGACATCTTATGGGCACTTCACAGTCAGTGTCTCCAGAATTGAATTTATTTTCTGTGACTCCTCTATCCTTCTCTCACAACTGCACCCCACCCTCCTTTCTTCTCACACAGACATACCCACCCTCCCTTCTTTCTTTTTCCCTGTGTAGTGCTCTGATTAAATGACTCTGCCATCCCATCCATCTGGCTCAAGCCAGAAACCTGTGTGTTATTCTAGACTATTCTTTCTCACCAGTCCCGAAACATTTCCATCTCAAGGAAAAACAAATTCATATCTGCCTCCTCATCCTTGATTCACTGCCTTTGCTTATGTTCAGACCCCAGTTTACCGTCTGCTCTCCCTGCCTCTCCTGCATTCCTCCCTCCATACTGTCAACCTTGCAGTGTTCCAGAAAGCATCAGATTGCTTCTCTGTTGCCTACAAAAGCAGTCTCTCATGTTTCCCAATCTGTAAACAATCCACTGAGAGTGAACATACTGCATTAAAAATTCTGTTTAGATTTATTTTTATTTCAACTTGTAAAAATGTATCCTTTTTTTTGTTTTGAAATATAGTAGAACAACAACACATGAATATAATTTATAAATATACATATATTAAGGTTGAATACTTAAAAATTCTTTTAATGTTTGGGGTACATAATCAAAAAGTTGAGAGACCACATGCCTATAATATGAAATCCCAATCCTTCAGGTTTATGTCTGAGGCCCTCAGTTCTCTGGACCCTGCCCATGTGTGTCTAGACTCCCCTCCCTCTCTTTTCCTGTTGATCCCCTGCATCATGAACTGGCTCGTGTTTAGCCACTGGTTTAGAAGTTTCCAGGCTGTTTCATGACTTCACACTGTTGCTTCTCCCTGGAATTCCCTTATTACTTCTCCCTGCCTTCATTCCTCATCCCCACCCCACCCAGCAGACTCCTGTTTCTGAATTCCTTTCTGCGACCCCTTACTGTTTCTACCCTCTCTTCCACAAGTGAAGTCATCACACCCTCTTGGTGTCCCGCTGTCTGTGTCCTTCATTCAGTCCTCTGACCGTGTCTCTAGCAGCTACTCTGCTGCCGCCCCAGGCTAGGGAGACCAGAGTTGTCTGTCCACCTCTCCGCCTCCTTCACAGTGAGCTCTTTAGAGACAGACACTCCTCTCATTCCTTACCTCCAGCAAGCAGCAGGTTTATTGACAGCCTGCACAAGTATATGAATTAATGAGCGAGGACACTGAAGAAGTGATGTGTCTTTCACCAGTGAGATTCTGTTTTTATGAAAAATTGATCAGGAATTAAGTTGTAAACTTGTGGATTTCTATAGTCAAAATCTCTTTTGTGGTATAATTTATACATGCTCACTAAATCCAGTCGTCCATTTAGTAACAAAAATACGTTTGTCTGTGTTCTGTGTGAAAGTTCATATGTATTTTTTTTTTTTTTAAAGATTTTTTTTTATTTATTTATTTTGAGAGAGAGAATGAGAGACAGAGAG